CTATTGTAAATAATGCTGCTATAAACATGGGGTGCCGGAATCCCTCTGACCCAGTGCTCTTGTACTCTTTGGGTAAATACTCAGGAATGCAATTGCTAGATCATATGGCAGCTCTACTTTTAAATTTTTTTTTTTTTTTTTGAGGACCCTCTAGGCTTTTTTCCATAGTGGCTGCACCAGTTTGCATTCCCACAACAGTACACAAGGGTTCCTTTCTTGCCACATCCTGGCCAACACCAGTTGTTTTTTGTGCTGCTGATTTTAGCCATTCTCAAGATGAGTAAGAAGTATTAACTTCTAGCAGAATCTCTAAGGACTAAATTTTAAATTTATGATATCCCACAAATGAGTAATTCCATTAAATGCATTCTTCAGGTTTCATTAGGAAGTTATACCAAACTGCTTCAAATTTTCATTTAGATAAAACAAATATAGCGACCCCTGGGTGGCACAGTTGTTTAAGTGTCCAATTCTTGATTTCGGCTAAGATCATGATCTCAGGGTCGTGAGATCGAGCCCCACATTGGGCTCCAATCTCAGTGCAGGGTCCACTTGAGATTCTCTCCCTCTCCCTCTGTCCCCACTCGCGCTCTCAAATAAATAAAATCTTTTTAAAAAATCAAATAAATGCAGTCCCAAAAAGAAAACAGTAGAGCATAAAATCAATATTACAGGAGCCTAATGTTGGCAGAACACTTATTCTCACCTTGCATGTGAGGAACTCTGCTGGAGAAACACTTCTGGCATATTCTCCTATCCTCTCATTCTCCCTCCCCCAGGGAAGATCCTCTAATGGGTTAAGAGTAGGTATCCATGGATCATCCCCTTCCTCCCCCACAATGGCTTTCCTACAGGCAGTACACATTCTGCCATGTTCCTATACTTTAGTCTAAAAGGAGAGCACTCAGAAACGAGCATTTGGCAACACAGGTTGGCTGATAACCTTATGAGAAGTTTTACTGGTCTAGTGGGAGACAGAAGCCTGATCACCATGGGCTAGAGAGAATGGGAGATAAGAAGTACAGACCGGAGCACAGACTTTGCTGTGCTGGGTAGTAAAGGAATGGGGCTGGCTGGGAGGGAGACATCTAGGGAGGTTTTCTGCTTCCTGTTTATTGCTTTATGTTAGGATACCAATGGAAATTATTGGTGAAAAAGAAGATTAAAGATGCAGAAAACTGGGACTCCTGGGTGTCTCAGTTGGCTAAGGGTACTGGGATCAAGGACTGCATCAGGCTCCCTGCTCTGACAAAATTTAAAAAAAAAAAAAAAGAAAGAAAAAGAAAAAACATAAGACAGAAAAATGACCATAGGAGTGGGAAACATCTGTAGCAGTGAGTTCCCTGAGGAGGAATGGGATGGAAGAAATCCATGTTGTAAGTGGAAAAGTTGTACTTTCTTTTCTTTTCTTTTTTTTTTTTTTTTAAGATTTTATGTACGAATGTATTTTTGTATTTAGGCTGAGCCCATGCTCGAGTGCCCACCCTGGGGAAGGAGCAGAGAGGGAGGGAGAAAGAACCTCAAGCTGACTCCCAGCTGCACGTGGAGTGCAGGGTGGGGGGTAGCCCCCCTTCAGCACTGCCCATCTCACGATCCTGAGATCGTGACCTGACCCAAAACCAAGAGTCAGATGTTCAATCGACTGAGCCACCCAGTCACCTCTAAATTGCAGTTTCTTTTCCCTTTTTATTAAAGATTTTTATTTATTTGAGAAAGAGTGAGAGAGAGAGAGCACGAGGTGGGGGAGGGTCAGAGGGAGAAGCAGACTCCAGTGAGCAGGGAGCCCAATGTGGGACCCTTTATGGGATTCCAGGATCATGACCTGAGACAAAGGCAGTTGCTTAACCAACTCAGGCACTCAGGTGTCCTCGAAGTTGCAGCTTCTTAGAAGCAAAAATATTTACTCTATTTTAAGGAGGAAATTCAGAGAAAACCTGTGCATATATTATCAAGACAGACTTCATGAAAACGGAGGAATTACAGTATTAGCATCTGATAAAGCAGACTTCAAAGGGAAGAAAGTTCCTAGGGACAAAGGGGGACATTACAGAATGAATAATAAAAGTATCATTCCACCCAAAAGACATACGATCCTAAATGTGTAACATATGAAGCAAAACTAATATAGGTGAAACGAGAATTAGACAAACCCACAATTATATCTGGGACCTTAACAGTCACCTCTCAGCAAAGGACAGAGTTACAAGCAAAATTAAAGACACAGAAAATCTGAACAAACGAGATCTGACTCATGTATGTAAAACACTGCACCCAACAGCAGCAGCATACATGTTTTTTTCAAGTGCCCATGGGACATCCATCAAGACAGATCACATCCTGACCCATAAAACAAACCTCAAATTTAAAAGAACTGAAATCATACACAGTATGTCCTCCAACAATGAAGGGCACAAACTGGAAATCAGTAACAGAAAGACAACAGGAAAAATTAAGGGAGTTCCTGTGAAGTTTTTTGTTTTTTTTTTTTTTTGATGACACACGAAGAAGCAAGGCAGAACGAAGGAAGAGAGAAGAGGAGAAAGATATCAAATTTATCTACTAAAGTAACAATTATTGAGTGCTAACCGTGGGCTAAATATTGTTCTAAACACTGGGACTAAAGGAGTAAACAGACAACAAAGTCTGCTCTCATGACCTTTAAATCGATATAAAATGTCAGGTGAGATAAGAAGAATAAAGAGGATAAAAGAATAAAGACTAACAGGAGGTAAAAACCAGGTTATTATACTGTGAACTGTAGTCAAATGCTGGTCTTTAAATGCAGGGTTCATTATTAAGTTTTACACACACTACTTCTCCTACCATAGTTCTATCTCTAGAATACATTAAAAGAAAATATTTTTTGCAACTTTATTTTCTTGGAAGACCCTATGAAATGTCTTTTTCCTACTACTCACAAAATGTGGGAATGGTTAGCTGTTTTTTGAAGCTGTAATTCTAGCGAGTTAAAAATTTAAAGTAGTTGTTTGTTGGGCTCGCTTGCGACTTCAGTTCTCCTCAACACGAAGCCTCCCAGCAGAACCAGTAAAGTTTTGTAGCATAATATGCAAGGGAAGAAAACTGTGTCCGAACAAATTAAGCACTAGCCAGAGTCCTACAAAACACTCCGAGTTTCACTTAGCTGGTTTTGTTAACAAAAAGGAAAAAGAATAAAGTAGCACCTATTGCCCAGCTCCCTGCTCTCCCCTCGGACCCTCTGTACTCAAGTAGTACGAGCCAAGCAATCTGGCTAAGGGTCTCCATGCAGACATGGCAGGCCAAGGGTATGTTGCTAAATTTCTTGTTCAATGATTTGGCTGTGCTGGGCTCCCATTTTTTACTTTTAAGAAGATTTTATTTATTTACTTAACAGAGAGGGAGAGAGAGAGAGCACAAGCAGGAGAAGTGGCAGAGGGAGAAGGAGAAGCAGGCTCCCCACAGAACAGAGGGCCTGACGTGGGGCTTGATCCCAGGACCTGAGCCGAAGGCAGACCCTTAACTGACCGAGCCACCCAGGAGACCCAGGGCTCCCGTTTGTTAGATACTAGGCTTGATCTGACTGCAAAAGTCACCTGTGTTTAACTCTGGTTTCAAACGATCATCTAAATATAAGGTTTTAACTGTAGTGGTTCTAGCAAGGGCTGGTAAACTCTAGCCAGCAGGTTAAATCCAAAAGTTTAAAACTAAGTTTTATTGAACACAGTCATGCTGGTTTGTCCCCCTCTCTGCGGATGCCTTCACATTAGAACTGCAAGGTTAAGGAGTTCTGACAGAGCGCGCCGTGACCTGCAAAGCCTAAATACTATCTGGCCCTTCACGGGAAACATTTGTGGACTCCTCCTAAGAGCACTGCGTCTCGGGGGCCCCGGTGGCTCAGTCGCTTGGGCGTCTGCCTTCCGCTCAGGTCATGATCCCAGTCCCTGGGATGGAGCCCCATGTCAGGCTCCCTGCTTAACAGGGAGCCTGCTTCTCCCCTCCACTTGTTCTCTCAAATACATACATAAAACCTTATTATTATTATTATTTTTTAAGAGTCTTGTTTCTCTCCCTCGTCTGTATAAAAGATTCTTCCTAACCCACCTCGCCCATTTCTCCGGGCTCAGGGCCCAACTCCAGTCTCCCTCACTCGCTTCGTTCTAACTTTCAGAACCACCTGCAGTTCCCTGAACACCCACGTTACCGGCTACTCGCCGCGGCCGCCGCCCCCTCCTTGCCAAACCGATCTCACATGGCCCTTAAAGCCTCAGTCCCTGCTCCTCCCGACCAGGGCTCCGTGCTGCCCGCCCTCCACCGGACAGCGCGCTTCCCTCCCAAGGCCGCGGTTCCTCCGAGTCGGCCTCCCCTACTGGTTCTTCAGGCAGAAGTCGTTCCTTTAGCTCCTCGTTCCCGTTCCGTAACCGGTGACCGACACGCAGGCCGCACTGGATACTTGCCGGTGCCGTTTCTGAGCAAACTCTCGCAGCACCTGTCAAGGCCGGCGTGTCCGCGGACGCCCCGCGCCGGAAACGCTCGCGGGCGAGCGAGCGGCCGGTGCCCCGCGCAGGGGCAGGCGGGAGGCCACCTGCTCCAACACCACCTGTCCCGTTCCTGTCTGCAGACCGTCCGACCGGCAGGCCCCGCCGTGTCCCCGCTCCTGCCGCCCGGCTCACCGCCCCCGACAGCGGGTAGCCCGGGACAGCCCCGGCCCCGCGCGGCGAGCGGACCGCAGGAAGCACACAGCGACCGGGCACGCGCGGGCGCCTCCCTCCGCCTCCGCTCGCCGCGCGCCAGGCAGCCCACGCATGTCTGACGACTCCCAGAGTCGCGGGCCGGCGCCGGGGGCTCAGGCCGGTGGGGTGGGCCGGCGCCGCAGTCCGGCGCGGCCGCCTTCGCTCCGCCGAGCGCCCCGCGCGCCCCCGGCCCGGGACCCACCCCGCCTCCCCCGGCCTCCCGGCTCCGTCGCGCGCCCCCCGCCCTGCTCGCGTCTCCGCAGCTCCCGTCCCAGACCCGGCGGCTCTCACCTGCGTCCCAGACTCGGCCCTGCCGAAGTCACTACACATCGCCCCGAAGGCTGGGCGAACCAGACACTCAACTTTCCCGCCACCAGCGCCATTTACCGCGAGCGGCTGAGGCCTCGCAGCCAGTCAAACGCGCTGACCCGCTGACCCGGGCGCGAGCATGCGCACTACGCCCGCCCAGAGCCAGGGAGGTGAGGGGCATGCGCAGTACTGTTGACGGGCGTCCCTCGCCCGAATGACGTCAGACTCCGTCTCTTAGGAGACCGGAGACAGCTGGTGATGTTTTTCTTGTCTCCTAAACTTCAATTCGTTTTTATTAGGTAAAACTAGCAATATGTACTTTTTTTTCTTTTTTACTATAAACAAAACAGTTACTGAGTACGAAGGGCTTTTTGTCCGTTTGTGGGTTAAAAGCCTCTGGCTGGCGATACGTGTGATTCAGAGTTAATTCTGAAAACAAAGAATTAAGACTAAGATTGAAAGAATCTGTGTAATTAAGAAATAATAATAATAATAATAATAATAATAATAATTACAGCTAACACGTATAGTGCTTAGTATGTGTCCTTAGTGCGTTATATATAATAATTCATTTAATCCGCACAGTCCTGTGAGGTAGCTACTCTTATCCCCATTTTACAGATGAGGAAACTGAGGCACAATCTTGGCGCACTTTACTCTGATGACCAGAGGGTAGTGAGTCAGCACATTAATGGGAAGTGGGAAAGGAAGAGCATGGACACAAACAGTTCTGCAAAGAAACTTGGATGTGAAGGAAGGAGATAACAGTAACAAGAAAAGTCAAGGAAGAGTCTTTTAAGAAGGCAAAGCCTGGAACGTGTTTAAATGCGGACAGGGAAGAGCTGTGGGAACTTACTGGTTAAAGAAAGAGAAAGAACACTTGATGGAGTCAGGACCTACAGACAACGGAGTGTAATGCAGGTGTAAGAAAGCTTTAGCTGTGGGGGGGGGCATCTCTTTCTCCCCGGTGAGTAGAGACAAGGGTTGAGAATGGGTGCAGATTAAGATAAATTTGGGGATGGGACGCTCAAAGAGCTTGCAGAAGGTCAAGTCTGAGGTAGAAAGCAAGGTAGTAGAAATCCAAGACTCCTCTTGTGAAAGTCAGTTCCTTTTGTGAAAGTTGAGCTCCTCTTGTGAAAGTCAAGTGTGCGCCTAAGCTGATGCCTGGATTTAATGTTCGCATCGACAGGCTCTGCCACAAACCTTCCTCAGAAGTCCATTCTTGGTTTATTCTGTGCACAGAGCAGTGGTAATTGACCTCAGTACTCCATGGCGGTAATTGTTTTAACCAGGATAATTTTCCTTAACACTTACTGTCTACAATCACATTTAACACACAACATATATTAGTACTATTCTTTCATTGCACAGAGCTTTTCTCCCTGAGTTACAATTTTCTTGAATCTCAGAATAAATTTTCTGAAATCATTCTGGATTTTGGTAACACACACACTTGGAATTTTAGATCTGGTTCCGTCCATTATTCCCATGATACACATCGCTCACCACCCTGGACCTTAGTTATCGTTGTGCTGTGGTGATGAAACTATGTACTTAAAAAAGCTAGCACAGCATCTAGTACAAAATATTGATTCTGTTCCTACCTCCCTATCTTTCTTAGATCATATCTTAGCATAGTGCCAAAGCTACAATAACTACACATTCCCCATCTCCTGTTAACCATGATGGCAGTGATTAGGGCCAGATTAAGAGATGAGCCTGTCTGGCAGTTGTCCAGGGTGGTACATCATAAAAGCTGCTAAAACTTCTCTATGTGCTAAAACATCACAGGAATATTCGATGGAAAAAATGATTTTTTTTAAGATTTTATTTATTTATTTGACAGAGAGATCACAAGCAGGCAGAGAGGCAGGCAGAGAGAGGAGGAAGCAGGCTCCCTGCTGAGCAGAGAGCCCCATGCAGGGCTCAATCCCAGGACTCTGAGATCATGACCTGAGCCGAAGGCAGCGGCTTAACCCACTGAGCCACCCAGGCGCCCCGGAAAAAATGATTTTTAATTGCAACTCTTTTCAAGCAGGATACTGTATGTGGTTGGGAAGAAAAGACACTTGGAAAGATGGTGAAACAGTCACCATCAAAGACACCTTTGAGTAACAGAGGTTTACTATGTGTAGGGTTTAACTGATTGGGATAGAAGGTAAGCTGAGCAAGCTGGTGCATTACCACCACCAACATCCTCCTACTCTGCCTTCTCCCCACCCGCTCCCACACAAGGAAGCAGGATTGTGAATCTCTAAAAATAAGTCAGCAAATATTGAAAATGCATCTTTTCGAAGACGTGCCAACTTATTTGCTCCCTGAGGCAAGTCTGCAAATCTTAATGTAATTCTGATGATATTGATGATAGTGATGGCTTGCACTATAACCCCTTTTGAACTGGGGTCCTGGATTTCCTATCTTAGAAATGTGAAGTCTAGATTTTCTAATTCTGTAAGATATCCAAGGCGTTTGTGTAATGAACAGCCATGGAAGATGGATACAGTGTCTCCCTCAGCAGCAAAGTCCTGCTTATTGTCCATTAGAAAAGATTTGGGTTCCTTGAGCTGAAATGTCCTCCCTTATAATGCAACCCACTCCGTGTGAGGCGTTATCTTACCCTCTTCACATTCCCTGTGCTTACCCGGGCTCTTAGAACCAGCATAACGAGATGTTGATACTCTGGCTGCTGGTTTGGACTTTGTGTGTGTGTGTGTGTGTGTGTGTGTGTGTGTGTGTGTGTGTGTTTTAAGATTATTTATTTTGGAGAGAGACGGTGTATGTGTGGGAGCATGGGAGGGGAGAAGGGAGAAGGAGAAGGAGAGAGGGAATCTCATGCAGACCTTGCTGAGCATGAAGCCCAACACGGGCTTGATTCCTGTGTCGGGATCCCTGGACCCTTAGATCATGATCTGAGCTGAAACCGAGAGTCAGATGCTTGGGGCACCTGGTTGGCTCAGTTGTTAAGCATCTGCCTTTGGCTCAGGTCATGATCCCAGGGTCCTGGGGTTAAGCCCCCCCCTTCTCAGGAGGGGGCCCGCTTCTCCCTCTGCCCCTCACCCTACTCGTGCTCCCACTTTCTCATTCTCTCTCTCAAATAAATAAAATCTTAAAAAAAAAAAAAGTCAGATGCTTAACAAAATGAGCCACCAGAGCACCCGCTGACTCTTTTCTGTCTTTTGTCAGCATCCATGAAATTGTGGTAGACTAACTCATTAGCTGACTAGAAGAGTAAACCCACACTAAGCAGTCTGGTAAAGTAAAGATTTTGAGTGAGCAAAGGAGAAGTTCAGAGAAGCAGGAATGTCATTATAATTGAGAAAAGCAGAATTTAGCCAAAATAGATAAGCATGTCTTTCATTCTGACCAAAAGATTTTTTATGCCTTGTTAAGCTTTCTTGATGAAGTTTTGGGCCTAATCTCTAGGATTTGACAAACTAGAAATTTAGTCCTGGTAATAGTAATGCCCACTTTTGGATTCTAAGAGGCAATAATCTGGAACTGATACTAATGGCCATTAACATCAATAGGAAAAACTGGAATGACAAAGTTTCATGAAAAGATATATTTTCACTCATCTATCTTTAAAAAGTTGACATAATATCATATACCTATGAAATATTTCTCATAGATAATACTAAAGTTGCTCATGGTATAAATTAGAATGTTTTGGTTACAAGTCACAGAACACTCAACTCTTATTGATTAAAAAAAATGAGAGGGGTCCTTGGCTGGCTCAGTCACTAGAGCATGTAACTCTTTATCTTTGGGTTGTGAGTTCAAGTGCCATGTTGAGTGTAGAGATTACTTAAAAATAAAATTAAAAATATAATAAATATATACATTAATAAAGAGATTTATTGGGTCACACAGATAAAAGTCAAGAGGTAAGATAGGTTTCAAGGTTAGTTTGTTGAGAGGCCGAATTAGACAAACAAGTACCTAGTTTCTTTTTTCTCTTGTCACATTCATATTCTCTACCTTGGCCCTTATAGGGCTATGTGTCTGCATCATACAATAGAGCAATAGTCTCTTACCTATTAATAAACATTAATAAATTAATAAACTCAGGAAATAAGGTTGGGCTGTTTAGCTGGGGCCTGAGTTACATTCTCTACCCCCAGACCCAGGGTTGGAGGTGTATTCTTTCAACGTATATGGGCTCTGTGTAAGGTGTGGGTAACCGTAAATAATGAAGCAACAACATCCCAGTAGTTAGGAGAATTGGGAGTGGGTGCTGGGGAGGCACCCTCTATCTCATTATATCCTCCATAATGAGGACACATATATAGAAAGCACCGTATCTAGGTCATCCCCCTCTTCCATTCCATTCACGTCTCTGCAAAGCAAATCTTTCCTTACATGTAAGAAAATCAGTATTTGAGAAAGAAGGCCTTTACACTTGAACAGCCGCCCTGGCCGGGCTGAGCTTCTCGGCCCTCACACTGTCCCTAATGAAAATGACGTGTCTGCTGAACTGGCTTAGTTCATTAAGTGCACACCTGTTTGCATGGGCCATCTTGCACAACATGGTTTGAAATTACTTCAATTTTAATATTCTAGAGAAATTACTTCTTTATAAAAGAATATTCAAGGGGCAAACGGGGCACTCAGTGGGTTAAGCATCTGCCTTTGTCTCAGGTCATGATCCCAGGGTCCTGGGATCCAGCTCCATGTCAGGGGACTGGTGGGAGGGGGGTGGTCCCTGCTCAGCAGGGAGTCTGCTTCTCCCTCTCCCTTGCTGCTCCCCCTGCTTATGTGTTTGCTTGCTCTCTCTCTCTCCCCTTGCCACCCCAGCAAAGAGAGAAATAAATAAATCTTGTCTTTTTTTTTAAAGAATATTCAAGGTGCTCTCATCACTTGCTGGTGGAAATGCAAACATATGCATTCTTTATGGAAGGGAATTTGCCAATACCTAACAAAAATTATACATTCATTGGGTGCCTGGGTGGCTCAGTGGGTTAAAGCCTCTGCCTTTGGCTCAGGATGTGATCTCAGGGTCCTAGGTCGAGCCCCGCATCGGGCTCTCTGCTCAGTGGGGAGCCTGCTTCCCCATCTCTCTCTGCCTGCCTCTCTGCCTGCTTGTGATCTGTCTGTCAAATAAATAAATAAATAAAATC